GGTAGGTTTTATAAGATGTGGCACCTATGTTTGTTTACATCGCGTTAAAACTCCTGGAATAACACTAAGGAACCTCGCAATAGTAGTCAGACACCTCACAAAATGTTCCAGCCACTGTACCAGGTGTAAGTGTAGGCAAATGTACAGAGATAATTTAAAACAATTCCGTAGGCCACCCGCATCTCACTACCAAATTTCTGTTTATTATTTAAAAATCTATGGAAATGTATGTGTGTGTGTGTGTGTGTGTGTGTGTGTGTGTGTGTAATAATAATAATAATTAAAAATTAACGGTTTATTGAAGGAGCATGGCAGTCGGAAGGCTGAAAATATGCAGTTCCATAATTGAGGAATGGGACTCTTGATTGACATATAATATGCAAGTAACATATTGATACAAATATGATATATAATAAATAGGAGGGGAGAAGGTCATACGACAGGGCATTTTAAAATAGTGACAGTGCAATAAAGGTAAGATTGACTGGGAGTGAACACAATGGTTGATTATGAGTTGGTGAGAATTTTTACAATGGTTGGGACTGGGCTGGATGCGGTTGTAGTGTCGAACAGCAATTCGCGGACGAGGGATCTCGGGTGGTAATAGGAGCCGGTGTCGAGGATGGTGCAGAAGCTTCTCATCAAATTTCCAGTTGAGGTCATGGTGATGGTCAGAGAGAGCCGAGATGGTCAGTGTATTGAGCGCTTTTTGATATGTGGAGTAGGAAGGGGAGAGAATAATCTTGCATGCCCTCTTTTGTACTTTTTCTAGGTGTTTACGTTGTGTGGCATTTATGGACGAAGACCAGGCAGGGGGTGGCATAGGTGAGCTTGGGAAGTATGAATGTTGAATAAACACTGAGGAGCTCGGGCGCGGAAACTCTGAGGGACTTGAGTCGGCGGAGAAGGTGGAGACGGAAACTGGAGGATTTGACAACTGTACTGACGTGTGTTTTTAAATTTAATTTATTATCTATAGTGACGCCGAGGAACTTAGTTGAGTCTACAACCTGGAGTGTGTTGGGGCCTAAAGTAATGAAAGGGGGTGGAACAACGTCAGATGAGAGGTTGATCTGCATAATCATGGTCATGGTATGGTTGATGGTAACGTGGTTGTTGGTGGACCAAATTTGGAGACTGTTCAATAAATCCTGGAGGGCGGTATAGTCGGGAGCCGAGTTGTTAACATTAATCTCAATGGTGGAGTCGTCGACATATTTCCAGCGAGCAGGGGTTTCTCTTAGGGCATCATTGATAGGCATAAGGAAACAGAGCAGTCCCATCTTGGTGCCTTGGGGGACGCCACATGCGAGTGACTGAAAAATGGAGACAGCACTCGAAAGCGCACGGCTTGGCGTCGGTCATTAAGGAAGTCTGTAAGCCATGGTATAAGACTTTTTCGAAACTCGAGGTCGATAGCTTTGTTGATGATTAAACTGTGGTCGACTAGGTCAAATGCTTTGGTGAGATCAATGAAGGCAACTGCCAGAGACTTTTTCGTTTTTCCAGATGGCGGTATATGTAGTCGAGAAAGCTGACACGACAGTGAGTGGTGGAGGAAGTTTTCATATTTCCATATTGCTGAGGATCTATGGAACCTGCTATATCAGCATAAGCCCAGTCAAACACGAAAATTTCACAAATTAAGCTGGGTGTAGAGGTGATTGCAATGGGTCGTAGCTCATTTAAGGATTGTGGGCTGCTTGAATTAGGCACTGGTGACACATATAAGGTCTTCCAGTCAGCTGGGCATCTTGCTTGGCTGAGGAAGGCATTGATGAAGGAGCAGAGTGGTTTAACTAGTTCCGGAAGAGCTCCTTGTACAGTTTCATTGGTAAGTTAATGGGGGTGGTGGAGCACTTTAACTTCAGTTTGCCCAGATGTTTTGCTTCTTCAAATTCCTCTACTAAGTCAGTGGAAAAGGGGGCTGGTATGTAAGCAGGGAGACTGGTTGTGTCAAGCCGGGGAGCGTCTGGCATATTGTTGCGAAATGGTTGTTTGATTGCCCAGCTGCGTCACCATGAGTGAGATGGCTAAGGAAGGGGAGGGGTGTGTCTTATTGTTTAGTACACAGTGTTCTTTAAGCTTACCATACCACTGAATGTTATTGGTCTGCTTCAGGTGATGCAGTTTGGTTGGGTAGTAGGACTTCTTTGCAGTGCATATTTTACGGATGACTTGGTTGCGAAGGGACCTGTAGCAGTTGTGGTCATTGAGATAAAAAGCGCTGTCTCTCTGTGATCCAGGGCAAGTCAGCTGGGTGTGATCAGACGGACTTCTCGGGGAAGAAGTGGTGGTGAGCTTCCGTGGTGGTGTTGGTATAATGTATCCATTTGGTGTCCACGTCATCCACACTAAGTACTTCAGTCCAGGGATGGTGAACTATCTACTGCCAACAGAGACGCACTGCAGAGTCATTAATCGGCCTCTAGGTCTTGATGTAAGGTCTCTGCACTTGGCTGGTAGTGGCAGCTGGAGACCAGAACACGGATAGGTGTGCGCTACACCTGATAGGAGGCATTGGTTGAGGTGGTTGGTACTGGTCCGCTTAGTTAAGGTAAGGTCAAGGGTATTTTGACCGTGTGAGGGGATGTTCACAAATTGTGAACGTAGCAGCTGTTCCTGGATATCAGTGGTGTCAATTTCGTTGTAACCCCCACATAATACTAGTTTGGCATATGGGTACCTAACTCTGAGGTGGTCTGAGGTGGTAATGAGGTGATTAATAAAAGTGTCTCTAGTGTGTGAGCAAGGTGGATGGTATGCCACACAGTATATGATGTAGGCAGTGTGGCGTGGGTGGGCCCGTGGCACGACCCGTACCCATAATACCTCCACATCAGCTGGGACTAAAACGTCCAGGCGTGACGGGCGTAGTTCATCTTGACTGAAGAGGGTAACGCCCCCACCGCGTCCATGTGAACGAAGGTGATGAAAAAGTTGATATCCTTCAATATGGCACGTTTCAGGAACAATTTGCCAAGCTTCACCTATGGCAACGATGTTGGCAGCGACTGATCGGACTGTGGATGAAAGTTCGTCAAATTTATTAGCTAAGGAAGTGAAGTTGGAGAGCAGTAAAGAGGGAGACCATATGATATTCGAGGAACTTCAGTGTATTGGTACGGTCTGTCAGGAGTAGGTTTCTATGGTTTTCTAGTGGAGGTGATGGTCCTAATGGTATTTTGTTTATGACGTCCTTGTCTACGGCTGCGAGCATGGAATATGTTCAGTGATTTAAGTCGCGCGATAACACTGCCATCAGGATAATTCCCATGCTGTAGAAGGTACATGGAGCATCTGGGGTAAGTAATTAGTGGACATCTGTTGATATCTGTTGTTATGGATGGACGGAAGTGCTTGTCCGCGGTGGCTATAAACTCACTGGCGGCGCTTTGAGGGCTACTGACATTGGTAGACATCTGTTAATATTTGTCTAGTCGTAATGACCTCGAGTCCTTGTCTCTGGTACTTAGGGGTCGCCGACACAGTACCCACGGTATATGTAAACACTGCGGTGGTCCTTGTCACTGGCACTTTGAAGGTGACCGACAAAGTGCCCACTGTCTGGTATTACACTGCTCTGTTTTGTGCTTTCCTTGGAATATACTACTGGATCACTGTTTGGCAACCAATGATTGCACTGATCACTTGAATGTTTTTCTGATAAATCCCGGTGTAGTGAGGTTGGTAGGGAGTTGGGATATAACAGGGGCGGGCAGAGCCAAACAGACTTGGCATAACTGCCAGTTAGGAGAGCCTACAGAGCACGTGTTGTCTCACTGAGGGCTGACTGATGTGTGTGTGTGTGTGTGTGTGTTTGTTCCCTATGCATTTCCACAGCTACAAGATTAAGTGACTATTGACCGTCTCGATATGTTTAGTATTTCAAATAAGTTCACTGCGACAAGTCAGCTTTATTTGCAATATAATTAACAGTCTTTATGTGACCTGCACTAACTGGCCAAACTGGGTTTATGGTGTGATGACGTGTGAAGGATCACCTGAAAATTAGCCACAGCTTCTTTTAACCTGATGATTAACCCCATTAATGCTACGTAGGAAGGTTAGGTTAGGTTAGAGTTACAGTGATTAAGCTTTTGGTAAAATAAGCTGGAGGTACTGATCCTCAGGTGATCCGGCATGACCTCCACCTGTAAAGATCAATCAAATAAAAATAAAACAGACCTTCCCTGGGGCTGAATTAATATTTCCGATGTGAAACTTTCCGTGTCAGGTGTAGCAAGTACTGACTCAGCGGGGCCAGGGGCGCACCCGTCTGTTTGCTTGGTCGAGCCGGTCGTCAGAATAAAGAAACACAAAACTACAATGTTGAATAGAAAACGCACATACTGTGTGTTACTTCCTTTCTTTTATAATTCGTGGTATAGTGTCTATCCTTCACGTTTGACCTCTAATAACTCAAAAAAAGGATAAGGTGATTTTACTTTGTCACTTAATTTAGCGTATATCCGCTAGCTTGAAAAACGCAACACTGGTTAGTGTGAAATTACAGACAACTAGAAGTGTGTTAAGAACTGATGTACCAAGCTTACCTTGTATTTTGTTAAAAGTGTAATATTTCCATAACACTTTTCGGGTAATAGTTTAACCTCAGATGGATTATAACTTAAACCATCATCTTTAGGGGTTATTACTTAAACTACACAGTATCTACCTCTCTTAAGACACATACAGACGGTGTCACTGAAGTAGGTCCCACAGGTACTCCCCTACACAGACTCACTCACTCATCATGTCTCTCATAGTAACATAAGAATGGAGGAAATTGCAGCGGGCCTATTGGCCCATACTGGGCAGTCCCGTTTACACCCAACCCCCTATCACTCATATATCCATCCAACGTATCTCTCCTCTCCACACCATCTTCCCCAGAAGTCTCTCCTCCCTACACCATCTCCCTTACCATGTCTCTCCTTACCATGTCGTCTCACCTCCCCACACCGTGTACCTCACCGTGTCGCCTCTCCTCCCCACAGGTGTCATGGATCAGACAGGACGACCTGCACATCCTGACGGTGGACAAGTACAAGTACAGCACTGACCAGCGAGTCTCGGTGGTGTTCAACGAGCCTAACCTGGAGTGGGTGTTGAGGATCAGGGGGGTGACTCCCTCGGACGCCGGGCGGTACGAGTGTCAGGTGTCGACCAAACCCGTCCTCAGCTTTGTTGTCAACATGAGAGTCGTAGGTGAGTTAGCCTTCCCGTCTCTCTGAGTGAGCCTTCCCTTCTCTCTGAGTGAGCCTATCCGTCTCTCTGAGTGAGCCTTCCCGTCTCTTTGAGTGAGCCTTCCCTTCTCTCTGAGTGAGCCTTCCCGTCTCTTTGAGTGAGACTCTCCTTCTCTCTGAGTGAGCCTTCCTTTCTCTGAGTGAGTATTTCCTTGTGTGAGAAGGTCTCTCATTCTCTGTGAGTGAGTCGTCCTTTTTTGTGGTTTAATCATCTCTCTCTCTCTCTCTCTCTCTCTCTCTCTCTCTCTCTCTCTCCTCTCTCTCTCTCTCTCTCTCTCTCTCTCTCTCTCTCTCTCTCTCTCGTTGAAACATCTTTCTTTGTGGTTAAGTTCTCCGTATCAATGGGAGAGGGTGAGTGATAAAAGGTGGAGGAAAATTGAACAAAAATTAACAAAACGAGAGGAGGAGGAAAAGGAGACAGGGTGAGTGACGTAAAAGATATACAGAAAGGAACAGAGGGTGATGGGAGAGCCAGAGAGGGAAATATGTGGACGAGGGAGGGATATAGGTGAGAGATCATGGAGGAGTGAGGGAGAACTTCAGGGAGTCATGGGGAGTGAGGGAGAACTACAGGGAGTCATGGGGAGTGAGTGAGAACTTCAGGGAGTCGTGGAGGAGTGAAGAAGAACTTCAGTGAGTCATGGAGGAGCGAGTGAGAACTTCAGGGAGTCATGGAGGAGTGAGTGAGAACTTCAGGGAGTCATGGAAGAGGAAGAAGACGTTTAAGAAGTCATGGGAAAGGTAGAAGTTGAATTATATGAAAATAATAACCAGCTGTTTCCGATCGTTCGCTGTTGTAAGTCATCGCCCAAACTTGTGCTACTTGAACAAACTAACATGACTCCTTCACACGACTTTCTTCATAGCGGATCACAAGAAACCACAACATGGCCCACATCAAGTCTTAGCGCTGTGGTATAAGGTCATCCTCAGATAGTTTGTTGTTGATGAGAGGTCAATGATTAAAACATCATTCGGTGAATAAATAAATAGCTGGAAATGAACTTCTTGTGTATTTAGATAGTGAGAGACTGTAGCGTCGTTCATTAACTAAACTCAAAATCTCTTGGGGGCGTTATAAGGAGGTGACTTGGGACGACTTGCTGTATACAATGACCGGGGCTGATTGGTGCAGACAGAGGGTCAATGGTCAGCAGTTGCGACAATGGTAGATCACACGATGTACTGTAGGTAAAAATTTAAATCATCGTCCTCAAAGGGTTAAATCAACGTCCTTCAATGGGTGAAATCATCGTCCTTAACGGGTTAAATCAACTTCCTCAAATGGTTAAATCATCGTCCTCAAAGGGTTAGATCATCGTCCTCAAAGAGTTAAATCATCGTCCTCAAAAGAGTTAAATCATTGCCCTCAAGGGGTTAAATCGTCGTCCTCAAGGGGGCTAAATCATCGTCCTTGAAGGGTTAAATCATCGTCCTCAAACGAGTTAAATCATCACCCTGAAAAGAGTTAAATCATCGTCCTCAAAAGGGTTAAATCATCGTCCTCAAAGGGTTAAATCATCGTCCTCAAAGGGTTAAATCATCGTCCTCAAAGGGTTAAACTATCGTTCTCGTAAAGGGTTAAATCATCGTCCTCAAAGGGTTAACCACGTCCTCAAAGGGTTAAATCATCGTCCTCAAAGGGTTAAATCATCGTCCTCAAGGGGGTTAAATCATCGTCCAAGGGGGTTAAATCATCGTCCCTTGTGAGAGGGTTAAATCATCATCCTCAAAAGAGTTAAATCATCGTCCTCAAAGGGTTAAATCGTCCTCAAAGGGTTAAATCATCGTCCTCAAAGGGTTGAATCATCGTCCCTGTTGGGGGTTAACCACGTCCCCAAAAGGGTTAAATCATCGTCCTCAAAGGGTTAAATCATCGTCCTCAAGGGCAACCATCGTTCTCAAAAGAGTTAAATCATCGTCCTCAAAGGTTAAATCATCGTCCTTAAAGGGTTAAATCATCGTTCTCAAAGGGTTAGATCATCGTCTTTAAAGGGTTAAATCATCGTCCTCAAAGGGCTAAATCATCGTCCTTAAGGGTTAAATCATCGTCCTCAAAGGGTTAAATCATCGTCCTCAAAGGATTAAATCATCGTCCTTAAAGGGTTAAATCATCGTCCTCAAAGGGTTAAATCATCGTCCTTAAAGGGTTAAACCATCGTCTTCAAAGGGTTAAACCATCGTCTTCAAAGGATTAAATCATCGTCCTTAAAGGGTTAAATCATCGTCCTCAAAGGGTTAAATCATCGTCCTCAAAGGGTTAAATCATCGTCCTCAAAGGGTTAAATCATCGTCCTCAAAGGGTTAAATCATCGTCTTCAAAGACTTAAACCATCGTCCTCAAAGGATTAAATCATCGTCCTCAAAGAGTTAAATCACTGTCCTCAAAGGGTTAAATCATCGTCTTCAAAGGGTTAAATCATCGTCCTCAAAGGGTTAAATCATCATCCTCAAAAGAGTTAAATCATCGTCCTCAAGGGGGTTAAATCATCGTCCCTCAAGGTTAAAATCATCGTCCTCAGTGTTGGTTAAACTATCGTCCTCAAAGGGTTAAATCATCGTCCTCAAAGGGTTAAACTATCGTCCTCAAAGGGTTAAATCATCGTCCTCAAAGGGCCAAACCAATACCGTACAAGGGCTAAAATATCGTCCTCAGAGGGTTAACAACATATTAAGAGATTAACGTTGCATTGCAGCTGCCTATAACAGAAGGGGAGAGTGGGTGAGGGATGGGAGGGGAGGAGGAGGTGAGGGAGGTGAGGGAGGAGGAGGTGAGGGAGGAGGGGAGGTGAGGGAGGAGGAGGTGAGGGAGGAGGGGAGGTGAGGGAGGAGGAGGTGAGGGAGGAGGGGAGGTGAGGGAGGAGGGTGAAGAGGGAGGGAGTCTATTGTTCAGCTAATTCCTTATCATTTTTTTTTCCTCTCTCTCTCTCTCTCTCTCTCATTATCCACTTATATTGTTATTTATCCCTTTATTTTTTTTTAATTATATCTTTAGTTCTTGTTCGTTTAACTGAATGTCTGTCTATTCATTAGTCTTTCCCATAAAATATTTTCAATTTCTTGGTAATTCCATTTATTGTGTCTGTGTTCCATTTCGATTTGGCTTATTATTTCTTCATTTATCAGCTGTTTGTTGTTTCTAGTTGTCTCCCTTTCTTAATCACATTCTGTATAACATCGTTCACTCTCGATCTCTTTATTTCAGTATCTAAAACGTTCATTCTTCATATGTCCTTTATGTTTTGGTTTTCTTTTAACAATCTCTAAAAAAAATATTCTTCCGCTGTTTCTCTCTTTATTTATGTCAGTTTCTCTTATCATCATCATTCAAACTTATTTTTCAGATCTTCGTTCATCGACCCTAGAAGACAAGGCCACTTATCCCATTAAAACCTTCCTATTGGATGGTTTTATTCATTAAGATTCCCAATAATGTGTAAGTCCTCCTATTAGTACCCAGAGTCACCTTCACTAACCATTCATATTACCCCATGACACTGAGCCAACTTGGCTGGAAATAATGTTTGATTGAGATTAATTCTTTTTTTTTTCACCTGAACTATTCTTTGGTGATTATTTTCTCATTTTAGTTATATATAATGCGTGTGATTAGAAGTAATTTGTATGGGAAACTGACTTGATTTTTAAGATCACGTCTTGACAAACACTGATTCGGAATTTCTATTTCACCTGAACCAATCTTCAGCAATGGTGATTATTTACCCAATCTAAATATACAAATATCTTACGTATGATAAAATTTAGTAAGGATTAGATACAAAGAAAAAATAATTCAAGACACTGATTCTGCGTTCCTATTCCACCTGAACCAATCTCGGACAGTAAACTTGTCTTGGGAGAGAAAACATTATAGGAAAATGACAGCTCAGGCACCATACCTCCCAACATCTGCCAGTCACACCTGCCTCTGCTGAGATGCTATACCTCTCAGTCACACTTGTCAGCCACATCTGCACACAACATCTACCAGGCAACACCTGCTAGGCAACACCTGCTAGGCAACACGTGCCAGTCACACCTGCCAGCCAACACCTGCTAACCAACACTTGGCAGCCAACGCCCACCAGCCACACCTGCCATCCAACACCTGCCAGCCAACAACTGCCAGCCAACACCTGCCAGTCAACACCCACCAGCCCCACCTGCCAGCCAACACCTGCCAACCAACACCTGCTAGCCAACACCCACCAGCCACACCTGCCAACTAACACCTGCCAACCAACACCCACCGACCACACCTGCCATCTGACGCACACGAGCCACACGTATCAGCAAACACCTACGAGCCACACCTACCAGCAAACACCTGCCAGCCAACACCCACTAGCCACACCTGCCTTCTAATACCTGTCAACCACACATGCCAACCAACATCTGCCCGCTAAAACCCGCCAATAATACTTGCCAGGCACACATGCGTACCACACCTGCCTGTCACACCTGCTAGCTATACCTGCCAGCAATACCTGTTAGCTAACGTCTGCCCGCTAATACCTGCCAACCACACCTACCAGACAACACCTGCCAGCTTTAACTGCCAAACACTTATCAGACAAATCTCCAATTTCCTCGATAATAAAATAGTGAATCTGACTCTCTCTTGCGCCCATTACTTGCAGAGGCACCGCTCACCACCACGCCCCCGCCCACTACTACGTCCTCGCCCACCAACTTCGAGAGACTCAATGACGAGCAAGTCACTCAGGATTCAGGCGAGATGGAAGCGAAAGGTGAACCTGCTGGGACGTTCACCAAGCTGGACGTTCTAACACTAGTGGTGGATGTGGAGGGATATTACTCGAGGGCAATGAGATATTTACAAAAGCTTTGCATGGGATTTATTTATTTATTGGAAACTAAAATGTTAATTACGTTATGGTAATTAGGATGCTAGTCATAACAATTTGGATAAAAACAAATTTAATAATAATAACAATAACAATAACAATAATAATAATAATAATAATGATAATAATAATATTAACAATAATAACAATAATAATAATAATAAATAATAATAAATAATAACAATAACAATAACAATCAATAATAATAATAATAATAATAATAATAATAATAATAATAATAATAATAATAATATGCTCTATTTACCAGCTCGAGTAGTTTTCCTCCACAAACCATCAATGTTCTTTACACTCAATAAATAACATCAATAAGCGTAACGACTTACTCCAAACAGCCGTCCAGCTTGGGCAGGTAACCTAACATTCCCTACCTGTAATTATGGACCATCACACCTGCCACGGGGTGTGACATTCGCCGTAAATGTTGCCTGACATGACTAACTGGACCCCGAGCGAGAAGATAAAATGTTCTCGTGAATTTAACATTGACGTCAAACTGTTCCACTAACATTTGTTCACTGTGAAGGATCATTAACGCTACTAACCCGTTCTCGTCCACCTTGATAAGCTAATTAACCTGAGTAACTGCAGCTTGAGCGAATAGTTATACCTGTTAGGAGTGCCGAGTGTTCCGTGTGTACTAACATCACTTTATAAGTATTGTGTATATTGTACCATGGTTCCAGTTGTTCCTGGATAATGTGAAATAACATGAAAATAATCTTATCACAAATATATATGAAGATACTGAATAATGAACACATAAATTTTAATAATATTTCAGTGTTCAAAATATTACATTCATCATAAATATCGACTACAACTCTTACATAAACACAATAATGTGCACAATATATGACAGGTGAGTCGTGGTTGGTATGGGTATTTAATTAACGAAACAACATTTCATCATAATCTCAGGTGACATCCGTGGAGCCAGATGCGACCATCCCTAAATACGGACTTAATTCCTATTAAATCTTATTATACATGATTAATGAATAATTAGTGAATAAATAAATAACCTTTCAAACATCATGAGATTAAAACACAGACTCGAGTTATTACATTGACAGAAATTAACCCAGAATTAATAATATCTATTAAGACGATCTCTCCATCTCCTAAGACCTGCACTGGGTACCACTCTTATAATGCCAGCCAATTATGTAAGGACTTTTTCAGGGGGCGTCACCCTAACTCCCGTCCAGAGATCGCCTTGTTAATTACTACCTTAGGAACTTAAGAGTTGTAAGGAGCTTAAAATCAAAGGGGTCTGTAAACTAGTCAGAGAGATGGAGGGAGATAAAAAAGAAAGAGAGAGAGAGAGAGAGAGAGAGAGGAGAGAGAGAGAGAGAGAGAGAGAGAGAGAGAGGAGAGAGAGAGAGAGAGAGAGAGAAAGAGAGAGAGAGAGAGAGAGAGAGAGAGAAAAGGGGGGGGGGTCAAAACTAAGAGACGGTTAGGTTTACAACTTTACCTGTAGGCATTACCTGGAACACCTTACGAGAAAAGTTAGTTGGATTTAATAAGGTGATGTAGAGGGCTGCCGTAAAGCCTAGACGGAGGAGGAAGGGAGGGAGGGGGAAGAACACCTGGCTCGGGCTCCCGTGTTTACAAGGTAAATATTAAGGTGTCTTTATTTAGCTCGTGGAGGCCCCTGGGGGTGTAGGGTGCCTGTCTCTCGCAGTAACACGCGGTGGTGGTGGTATTGGGAGGTTGTAACGGTGGTGATAGTGGTGGTAGGGAGGTCGTGATGATGATGGGAGGTAGTGATGATGGTGGTATTGGTGGTGGTGGTAGTAGTAGTTGTAGTAATAATATTAATATTATTATTATTATTATTATTATTAGTAGTAGTAGTAGTAGTAGTAGTCCTGGATGAGATGTAGACTGTCCTTCTCTCTCCTTAGGTCGGCTTTGCTCTGCCTTAGAGGAACGAGAGCATCGGCCCAAAGCCGACACAGTTGCAGATATTGACTATGAGGCTACAGTCACTGAATGCCGCATAGATCTGCAGCTCAACTAACTCAACACAGCTAGGATAGCTACTCATGTACTGTATTAGAATATTTAATTTTAAGGTAATAAAATGGCAGCGAAGCTGTGGCTATAGGGGGAGGATAGAGGCCAAATAAACAAAAAGGTAGTAGTAGTGGTGGTAGTGAGGTGGTGGTGGTACTAGTGGTGATAGCGAAGGAGTGTACCCGAAACGGTCTCTACATGCACCTCGGCCCCTCCACCACCACCCTCCACCCAAGGTGTCCTTCTCTGCCACACTCACACCCTCCTCTCTCCCTGCCACCCTCCCACCACCACCTCCCTGTCACCCTCCTCTACCACTACTACACACATTCAGTATACACACACACACACACACACACACACGTATGCATTTTTAAATCCTGCAGAAGCCATGGTCCCTGGTCTGCGTCAGGTCTGGTGCCCGTGTACGCGTTTGCCACTCTCTTGTTACTCCCCAAAGTCGACCCAGGGCTTTCTGGTATAATTTGTCGCGTGTTACAAATTCCTTCAGTAAAATAAACAGGGGGGGGGGGGCGTGGATGCAGTCATTGGATATACAACAAAATAAAATCTTATTTGTTAAGATATCAGTGGTTCTGTAGTGAGGTAGGAACAGACACAGAGGACAGGTGAATAAGAGACAAGTAAACCTCTGACGTGGTTATACACACAAGTATGGGCTCAAATCGTGGTTAAAATATTTTGGCTTTTTTATCATTTCGTCTCCAGATATTAGCGTTAAATCACAAGAAAGTTTATACACGTAGTTTAAAACATCAGTAAACCTTATGACACTTAATAAAGACATCAGTAGCCTTATGACATCTAATAAACGTATTATAAGATAGCGACCAAATGAGGCAGGAGGTGGACTTGTTTTATACGGAGCCAATAACCAAGAATCCTCCCAATGACTCACTTCATGAATGTCTCAGCACAACCCGAGCTCCTGGCTGCAGATGTCTGAATCATGACTCACAAGACCTACACCCGCGTGGCTTTCCTCCTAAAATGTTTTATCCGATATAAAATGTCTTGTGGTTTGCGATATTTTTTGTGTATTAGTTTATAACGTAATATAACACTTTTAGTTTGGTCGACATCTAATTCATTTGGATCACACACCCCAAGAGATGATCAAACATCCTATAGCTACCTGACGGGTTTAGGTTAGGTTAGTTTAGATAAGGTTAAGTTAGGTTAGATTAGGTTATGTTAGGTTAGTTAAGGTTGGGTTAGGTTGGGTTGGGCTGGGCTGGGCTAAGTTAATTAAAGTTAGGTTGGGTTGGGTTTGGCTGGGTTGGGTTAGGTTAGGTTTGTTAAGGTTAAGTTAGGTTAGGGTAGTTAACTTTAAGGTGAAATAAGCTAGGGTACATATCTTCATGTGATCCGTTCATTCAGTATCCTCAACTTCGGCAACACGATATTTATATATATTTCTGTTAACTGTTATTGGTGGTGGTGTTGACGTACGCTGAGCTCGGCTTTTTGTGGTTCGGCTCTGTGGAATAATTCATCCCTCCGTCTCGTCCCGCAAAACGGCGATTCCATGTTTAGTCTCGCTGGTAAACCGAGGTACTGGCTCTTCGGCAGCTCGTATGAGTAATGTTAAAGGGAAAGATAAATGAAGTTAAGGGTAAGCACTTCAAAATAGGTGTAAGAAGTCGAATTACAGAAAACTGTCCGAGAAGTGATAAGAGAAAGAATTGAGGAAAGAGCTCGTTAAACAGTAGGTCATACACTCACCTCTGAGGGAACAGGTAAACCATGGTGGTAAGTCTACTGCCCTTCGTAGGACAAACTGTTCCCTGTTCTTCACGTAATCCAACACAAAGCTGAAAAAAACAAACAATATTTATACTATTATGAAAGAAGTTTACAATCCATCAGCTTAAACGCAACTGAACAAAGCTTTAACGTAATCAGCTTAAAAGACAGCTGAATGAATATACAAGTGGTCAGTACAGTGACAAATGATTGGAGCATTAACGTAATCAGCTTAAAGATAAGGGAACAAATAATCCACTTAATCAGCTTAAAGATAACTAAATAAAAAAGGCTTAATTTTAATCAGCTTATTGATACTTAAATAAAATATACAACTACAAGTAGTCAGCATAGTAGTAGGCAGCTATCAAACAGGAAGGTACTACCGCCTGGGAAGATATTGGAAGCATAATGTGTTGTCTAATGGTAGACCCTGCTGCCATATGGCATCACAAATATTGTGACCAAGTCCCAGGTTGCTGATCTGACTTTCTGCCTCCTTTACACACACTTGTAGGGTCTCACCTGTTGCTCTTACTTTGACAACACAACATACATAAATCGTTTCTCACAATTATCATTATTTTTTTATTTGAGGTTCTTTATTATTATTAATTTTATTAATATTATTATTATTATTATATTATATTATATTTTGATTTAATATTTTTTCAAATTGTTTATTAATATTTATTAATTATAATTATTATATCATTATATTATTATTATTATTATTATTATTATTATTATTTTTTTATTTGAGGTTCTTTATTATTATTAATTTTATTAATATTATTATTATTATTATATTATATTATATTTTGATTTAATATTTTTTCAAATTGTTTATTAATATTTATTAATTATAATTATTATATCATTATATTATTATTATTATTATTATTATTATTATTATTAATATTATATTTTTTGTCCCTAGGCCCTAATGTGGGTCATTGACCTGTGCCCCGGTGGGCGAATCCCGTAAAAAAATTATATATATATATACTTCATTTTTAGTCCATATAACATGCGGACTTTGAACATATAATCAACAACCTCACCAGCCTGGACTCGAACCCTCGACATACTGCGTGGGACCGGGGAAAGTTACCGACCATGCCACAAGAGTACTAAAAGCAGTTCTAGACTATGTTATATTTCACACAAAGCCTGTTCATCGGGCATTTTACCAAATCTCGCTGGTATGAAACACGAGGTACCATATATACTTAATTTTTTTAATCCATATAACACGCAGACCTTGAACATATAATCAACGACCTCACCAGGCAGGACTCAAACCCTCGACCTACTGCGTGGGACCAGGGAACGTTACCCAACCATGCCACAAAAGCACTAAAAGCAGTTCTAGACTTTGGTATATTTTACACAAAGCCTGTTCATCGAACTCGATGAACAGGCTTTGTGTACTCACCCCTGAAGATGTGAATTACACGAAAGCGCTTGGGAACTTCGTGTTTTCTTCTTTCCTTGTGGTTATCAGCATATATATATATATACACATATATATATATATATATATATATATATATATATATATATATATATATATATATATATATATATATATATATATATATATATATATATATTATATATATATATATATATATATATATATATATATATATATATATATATATATAAACGAACATTTCACAAATTCACCTTAATACTCACTGAAAATAATCACAATAGTAATCACCGTAAAAACAATTTAAAAAATACCCAGATACTCTAAGCAGTAAAAAATAACAAAAGACAAATGAATAAATGGCAAAAGAATGCAAAAACAAAAGACTTGGAGACACTATTGTAACAATAATGGAGGAAATAACAAATAGTAGTGGAGGGTGTTTCTATATCAAGCTGAACTAATTGTATTGCCAGGGTAATCAAATGTAGACAAAACGTAAATATTTCGTATTTTCTTGTTTATATTAATTTGTCTCTTTGTATGTCTATCTCCCCCCTCTCTTTTACGGGTCTTCTTTTTGTTTCTCTCGCTTACTCATATTTTCACTTATTCCCGTTTACCGTAGTCTCGACCAGACTGAGTGCAACTTTGGTAAATGGTGTGGAAAACTTCCTGTAACATAAATATTAAGAGATGAATAATATTTTTTACAACGACATAGAGAGAGAGAGAGAGAGAGTCAACTGAGTGGACTCATGTAGGGAACAGAGATGGTTGCCTGAGAGGGAGGATGAGAGAAGAAAATAACTGTCACGGCACAGAGGAGTAAATGTCAGAACAGAGTAGAATAATGAGTCATATGGATCAAGTGTGACCCGAGAAAAACATGTAGCGGAGGAAGCAGTGGCGTGGACGGGGGGTGGAAGTAACAAAGGCTGGGGAGGAATATAGGAAAATAACGACGCTAATAAAGATAATATATCACTGGGTAGTTAACAAAAATGTAACAGTATTGTCAAGGAGATTATTATTAGTGTGTAAAAACAAAAACTTGACCGTGAACTTCATAAGATATCAATTATAGAGGAAGTAGTTTAAGAGAAAATCGGTGTCTGGCTGAGTGAATTGAAGGCGTTCAGGTTTCAATATTTGCTGAACACTTTGACTGACGATCGAGGAATCTTTCTCAGCGTTCGGAAAAGGTCAAGCTGTGATTTATAGCCTTGGGGGGACAGTGGGGAGGGGTGATAAAAGAATAGAATCTGATCCTACACGAGTGATAGAACCTCTTGCATGTATAGGACCGAACCTCTTCTTCTATACCTTAAGGGTGTGAAATACGGCCAAACAGGTGGCAAAAACGTCGGGATAAAGGTCGTGTGGGATTGAATTTGTATTACATTCTACGGCAGACAGTGAGAACAATGACGATGTGAAACTGAGATACTACACCATGTAAAGAGGAGAGGCTGATTGAGAGGTGAGAAAGAGACGTAATAAGGTATGAGATGATACGTGAGACAGGGATGAGTAAAAGAGAGGGTACGATCGATGATAAAGGTGATAGATGAAGAGGATGGCTTAATGTATTGAGTATGGGACTATGTGTAGGTAAGAACAATAATTATTATAATGGAAGGGAAAAAAGACCACGGATGAAACTGCTAACTATTCTGTTCATATAATAACAGATAACCGAACCTAACCCAGTGACCTTAGGTTAGGTTAGGTTAAGTTGCGTTGAGTTGGATTGGGTTAGGTTGGGTTGGGTCACGGTAAATTAGGCTAGGTTAGGATAGATTAAGCTAGATAAGGTAGGTTTGTTTGGTTCCTACCCTCTGCTTAAAACAATGGCATTAGCGTGGTGGTGGCGCGGGGGAGGGCAGTGTCGGACACAGGAACACGGTGTCTGCCACAGAGATACACAAACGCAAACCCCAGATTAAAACTTTTTCCAGCAGTTTTTTTAACCTTTCAAGTAATAACTTTGAGAACACTGCAGCGGCTTTCCCCAGCAAAATATCTTATTCTAGGACACACACTTAAGAAGGGCTCTTACCAGCTGGAGTGCCACCTAGGTAAATAGTGTCGAGAATTCCAGTAACAAAAGCATTAAGAGATCACCTCTTTTTCACAACGGAAGACTATCAGACTCAAGTACACTCGGAAACCATATTCTCTAGCCCACCTGGGTCGGTGCTGGAGGTTTGTACAGTGTCCTTTCTGGACGGGGGCCCACTCTAACTATCACGAGGCAACACACGCACGAACACACACAGTCAAAATACTGCTGTATAGATGACAATATGTATAAATATTATATATGGCAAATTATACTCTGCATTATCTTCATTATATATGAACACGAAGAAAAATTACCATAGGTTGTAGTTACGAAAGTATGAATGGAAATAAACACTTCCAAACCACCCAGTGAGTCCCCACAACGTTTACAGCGCTTGTGTGTGTGTGTGCCAGACCACGATGCTTCCACCACACCCCATCATTCGCGTAACTATATGAAAAATCGTGTTTAATTTAACTACATATTTCAAAAATCTTAAATATAAAAGGCAAAACGGTTATTATGGTTTTATGAAGAGATATTGAAAGTGAGTTCCATATGAGCAATACAGTACAGCGCAACTAATACTATACCTTCAATACATAAGGAGGCAATAATGTACTCTAGGCCAGAGAGGGACAACTAATTTATATTAATATGAAATTTACGAGGAGAAGGAGGAGAGGGAGGAGGAGGGACAGGAGGAGGAGGAGGAAGAGGAGGAGGAAAAGGAGGAGGAGGAGGAGGAGGAAAAGGAGGAGGAGGAGGAGGAGGAAAAGGAGGAGGAAAAGGAGGAGGAGGAAAACTTATGTAAGTGATATTTCTTGACCCCATAAACTTTCCCCTTCAAAGACCTCCTCCTTCCATCCCACTCCCCAGCCCCCTCCCGGTCCGCCAGTCCATCCTACCCTTCAATAACCTCTACCCCGAAGTCCCCCAACCTCTCCCCCACCTACTTCTCCCTACCTTCTCACCAACAATTCCACAAATCCAAGTTGAAATATCTCATCAGATATTATGGATGGACGTCTCTAGAAATATACACAGCGAACTAATCTCAAGAGTCCTGGAAAACGACGAAGAAATCTCATTGAAAAGTTTGTGTGATGCGGGTTGGTGTGTGGGGGGAAGGGAAGAGAGGTGTAGGGGAAGTGGTGCAGGGGGAGAGGGGGGGAAACGTCGACCAATATCGAGAGCCACAAGTGGGTGAGAGTGGCCACCTCTATTCGACATCTCGAGGACTTTTTTTACGAAGAGGAGAGAAGCAATCTCACTGTTATGCCTCCTAAGCCTCGTTTACCAAGGATGTCATCTACAGCCGTCTACTTTTACCAGTTGACATCAACACCACCAACACTAGCAGCTGACACTACCACCACCAGCCGACAACACTACCACAGCTGACAACACCACCACCACCAATTGACAATATTATGACTCTTGACATCATCAACACCACCACTAACTGGCTACACCACCAGCTGACACCACCACCAGCTGACAACAACCACCAGCTGACACCACCACCAGCTGACACCACCACCACCAGCTGACACCACCACCACCAGCTGACACCACCACCACCATCTGACACCACCACCAGCTGACACCACCGCCAACTGACAACCAGATGCCAACACTACCACAAGCTGATAACATTATTACTAACTGACATCACCACCACTAGCTGACGCCACCACAAGCTGACAATACCACCACCTCCACCAGCAGCTGACACCACCACCAACAGTCGACACCACCAGCAGACCTTCTCACTCAGGGAGGCGAAGGAAAAAGTATCCCAGGCAGTAAAATCGCCAGTGAAATTTGTCTAGAGTGTAACACACAATTATTATATCCCTTCTCAGTGCTTTACTGTGTGAGGCGCTGTACCAAATGTGTCCTTCATTTGAGACATAATTCTGATTTTTATTTCTCTTCCCTCCTTGTTCACCGCCACTGCTGCCACTGTTGCTGATCTGCACGCCCACGCCAACGCTACCTCACATTCATCTACTTGCACCTGCATCTGCCACGCCCACTCAGTGCCTCGAGCATGGGTACTGAACGCCCCCGAGATCTTCGTGCATCGCGGGTCGCCCATCAACCTGACGTGTGTGGTGACCCATGGCACGGAAAGGCCCGTCTTCATCTACTGGTACCATAACGAAAAGGTAAGACCTGCCCTCCATCCCAACCTCTGCCTGCTTACCTACCTATATAGCTCTGTCTGCCTACCTACTAACCTACCTACATAGCTCTGTCTACCTACCTACCTACCTACCTATATAGCTTTACCTACCTACCTACCTATATAGCTTTGTCTACCTACCTACCTACCTATATAGCTTTGTCTACCTACCTACCTACCTATATAGCTTTGTCTACCTACCTACCTACCTATATAGCTTTGTCTACCTACCTACCTACCTATCTACCAGCTTCTCTAAGTACCTGTCGCACCCTGATCTAGTTTAAACGTGTCATGTATATAGGTCAAGACAAGGCTCTCACGATCAAGTAATTAATACCACCAAGTTAGTTTCTAAGCACTGTGTATAATATAAAGGCGATGTTCTCAACTTACTGTATGTCATGATTAGTGTACGTATACACGTAAGTCCTGGTTAGACTCTAGATATATGTATTGGTCGTGATTAGCAACTGCGGTATTCACACACACACACACACACACACACACACACACACACACACACACACACACACACACACACACACACACACACACACACACACACACACACACACACACACACACACACACACACACACACACACACACACACACACACACACACACACACACACACACACGTCATTGCTCAAAATACATTCGTATTCAGGATTCAAAGTGCTTATTCCGGAATTTCTGGGGAGACTCAAGACAACAAGTTTCACACACACACACACTTAAGTCGAGGCTGATCGTCCAACTTGTTATCTCAGATGTAGGTCATATTGGGCAGCAAGTAAATAATGGACAAGTTTGGAATACACACATGTTCTTGTTAGGCGCCAGACTGAGTTACGGTGAGTCTTGGAACACATACTGTACATGTTTCTTAGCTCAGGGTTATATTCGTGACCTAAAAGGAAGATCCCGGTTACGCACCTGTAATAATTAACAATGTAAATATTAGACTTGTTTTTATTTACAATAAATATCGGAAATGGTCAAAGTAAATGGTGGGTGTGGATACCGCTCCCTCTATTGACTGTAGGTACAGTACAACAAGGTATATCAGTGTAGGTATAACAAGGAACACCTATATTGCTAATTATTGCAGGAGCACGGTTTTTATCTTCCTATATTATTGTGTTATAAAACACTTGTCGTCAACAGTTAAAACTAAAGAATAAAACATTTATCTGATTTGGGGAAAATTTGATTACCTTAGGATTCGCCCACACCTTTATCACCTTAAAGTTAACTACACCAACATAACCAAACTAAACTAAAGAAACACAACATAACATAATCTAATCTAACTTAACCTGACATAGCATGAAATACAAAACCCATTCCAACTTAACCTAACATAATCTAATCTGACTCATAAACACAGGTACTCTTTAAATGTTTAATCTGTAGTTTAAATAAACTGGGGAAATAATCCTCAGGTGATCCAAAGGTTTGTACTCTCAAAGTAATCCAAACGCAGCCAAAACCATAGTATTACATCACTGTTAAATGGGAGGTCTTTACAATGTTGTTCGGGTAAAGATGCGTCCACACGTGCGTACATTTTGTCGCCAACATGTAGTCAACAAGAGAAAACACCGAACCAGTGCACGCGGCCGCACCCTACAGAATCAGAACCCTGGGTCTCATTTCATCTTGTCGATCAAATGTTAGCGACAAAATGTTCGCACGTGTGGACCAAGACATGAGACCTCGTAATGTGTTAGTAACCAAGACAGCTAATAGGTAGTTGGTAATGCAGCAACCAAACAGGGAGGTACTACCGCCTGGGAAGATATTGGAAGCATAATGTGTTGTCTAATGGTAGACCCTGCTGCCATATGGCATCACGAAAATTGTGACCAAGTCCCAGTTGCTGATCTGACTTTCTGCCTCATTTAAAAAAATGTTTCTCTTACTTTGACAACACAACATACATGCTGTATATCGTTTCTCACTCTTGATATATTTTTTCGTTATTGTATTTATTATTATTATTATTATTATTATTATTATTAATATTATTAATATTATTATTATTAATATTATTATTATTATTATTATTATTATTATTATTATTATTATTATTATTAATATTATTATCATTATTATTATTATTATTATTATTATTATTATTATTATTATTTTTATTATTATTATATTTTCGCCCCAGGCCCTGATGTGGGTCAATGCCCTGTGCCCGGTGGGCCAATCCCATAAAAAAAAAAAAAATTACTTAACTCTCTATAACACACCTGTTCTTCTACTCACCTAGCTACAAAATATTAATAAGATGTATTTTCATTCTGCCAGTTTATCTATCAATCTATCATGGTGCATGGTGTGACTGTGTGGTGCATGGTGTGTTGTGTGGTGCATGGTGTGACTGTGTGTGGTGCATGTGGTGTGACTGTGTGGTGCATGGTGTGACTGTGTGGTGCATGGTGTGACTGTGTGGTGCATGGTGTGACTGTGTGTTGCATGGTGTGACTGTGTGGTGCATGGTGTGACTGTGCGGTGCATGGTGTGACTGTGCGGTGCATGGTGTGATTGTGTGGTGCATGATATGATTGTGTGGTGCATGGTGTGATAGTGTGGTGCATGGTGTGATAGTGTGGTGCATGGTGTGACTGTGTGGTGCATGGTGTAGTTGTGTGGTGCATGGTGTGATTGTGTGGTGCATGGTGTGATTGTGCGGTGCATGGTGATTGTGCGGTGCATGGTGTGACTGTGCGGTGCATGGTAAGACTGTGTGGTGCATGGTGTGACTGTGCGGTGCATGATGTGACTGTGCGGTGCATGGTGTGACTGTGATACATGGTGTGATTGTGTGGTGCATGGTGAGTGTGTGGTGCATGGTGTGACTGAGTGGTGCATGGTGTGATTGTGCGGTGCATGGTGTGATTGTGCGGTGCATGGTGTGACTGTGCGGTGCATGATGTGACAGGGCGTGCATGGTGTGACTTGTGTTATATGGTGTGATTGTGTGGTGCATGGTGTGAGTGTGTGGTGCATGGTGTGACTAGTGGTGCATGGTGTGACTGTGTGGTACATGGTGTGACTGTGGTGCATGGTGTGACTGTGTGGTACATGGTGTGACTGTGTGGTGCAGGGTGTGACTGTGCGGTGCATGGTGTGACTGAGTGGTACATGGTGTGACTGTGTGGTGCATGGTATGACTGTGCAGTGCATGGTGTGACTGTGCAGTGCATGGTGTGGATTGTGTGGTGCATGATATGATTGTGTGGTGCATGGTGTGATAGTGTGGTGCATGGTGTGACTGTCTGGTGCATGGTGTGACTGTGTGGTGCATGGTGTGACTGTGTGGTGCATGGTTTGACTGTGTGGTGCATGGTTTGACTGTGTGGTGCATGGTGTGATTGTGGTGCATGGTGTGACTGTGTGGTGCATGGTGTGACTGTGTGGTGCATGGTGTGACTGTGTGGTGCATGGTGTGACTGTGTGGTGCATGGTGTGATTGTGTGGTGCATGGTGTGATTGTGTGGTGCATGGTGTGATTGTGCGGTGCATGGTGTGATTGTGCAGGTGCATGGTGTGACTGTGCGGTGCATGGTAAGACTGTGTGGTGCATGGTGTGACTGTGCGGTGCATGATGTGACTGCGGTGCATGGTGTGACTGTGATACATGGTGTGATTGTGTGGTGCATGGTGTGAGTGTGTGGTGCATGGTGTGACTGAGTGGTGCATGGTGTGATTGTGCGGTGCATGGTGTGATTGTGCGGTGCATGGTGTGATGTGCGGTGCATGATGTGACTGTGCGGTGCATGGTGTGACTGTGGTACATGGTGTGATTGTGTGGTGCATGGTGTGAGTGTGTGGTGCATGGTTTGACTGTGGTGCATGGTGTGATTGTGGTGCATGGTGTGATTGTGTGGTGCATGGTGTGACTGTGTGGTGCATGGTGTGACTGTGTGGTGCATGGTGTGACTGTGTGGTGCATGGTGTGACTGTGTGGTGCATCGTGTGACCGTGTGGTGCATCGTGTGACCGTGTGGTGCATCGTGTGACCGTGTGGTGCATCCTGTGACCGTGTGGTGCATCTTGTGACCGTGTGGTGCATCGTTTGACCGTGTGGTGCATCGTGTGACCGTGTGGTGCATCGTGTGACCGTGTGGTGCATCGTGTGACCGTGAGGTGCACCGTGTGACCGTTTGGTGCATCGTATGACTGTCACTTAATATTTTACTCTCAAACTCTTGCTGTTATTTTAGCCTGAGTGAGTTATGAACCGCCCTGAGTCTGTGAGTTTGCAAATAAATATAATTAATTAAAATATAATATAAATACTTATTTTTACAATTAATTATACGAGGGAGAGAATAGATTAGCTTCATGGTGACATATTTAGTAAAGAAACCCAATGGAGTTTGATTATGAAAAGAGATATAAATTGTGGTTTATATTAAGTGACTATATTACTTAGTTTACCGAGTCTCGTCGTGTTATTACGAATATTTATATAACACAGAAGAGAGTATAGTGTATGGGGTGGGTCTGTCTGTCTGTCTGTCTGTCTGTCTGTCTGTGTGTCCATGTGTAATCCTTCCTGCACTCCTAACGGGATGAAGATTCAACAGTTTTACACCACACCCAGAAACAGAAAAACACACAAAAAATAACAAAACAACATGAGCTCAAAAACACCATAAACGGACAAAAACAGGGAGACATAATGCTAAAACTAATAATATTCAGCACATGTTTGGGGAATTGTTGTTGTGTTTAACTCCCAGACATTTTATAATGAACGAAGTGGTCCGCTAGAGTTAAGTATTATCCGGGTTGTAATACTCAGCAAGCGTCGACATTCCTGCTAAATTTGCCCGACGGTTTTTGTGCCGCGTAAAGGTTAAGCAGCTCCGGCTTATTTCATATTATGATTAAATACCTTAACACTAACTTAACCAGACATTAACCAAGCTTAAAATAACCTAACCCTTACTTTACCTA